TTCTGGCCAAGACTGAACCAGAAAATGTGGTTTAGTTATCAAGGTGTAAGTAGACTACTGCTTTCTACCCCTTGAATCCAGATACACCTCGGCTGAGGTCCCTTCTCAGAAATGTGAAGCAGAGAGAATAAGATGAGGTCAGCTTAGTCGAAGGTCATAGTGTAAGCCTGGGACAGAAGGGTAAATGAGTGTCCTTCTTTGGAGCTGATCTTTAAGCCAAGCTCCCTGACCTAAATTATACCACATTGTAAGATGGGGTCCAATGAATGTCCTGGCCTCTGACCAAAGAGATAAACAACTCTTCTCTCGGAGACGGGGAGGGAGCTGGAAGATCATTCCTTCTAGAGAGCCCTTTCAAAAAATGTGGAGTCTTTTGAACTAGGGCTGCTAGACTTAGCAAATAGAAATATAGGACAACCAGTTAAATTTGAATTTCAGATAAGAGAGGAATCATTTGTGTAGTATAAGTGTGTCACATGCCATATTTGGTACATGCTTGTACTAAAGCATTATTTGTTGTTTATCTGAAATTTGAAAGGAACTGGGCATCCTCCAGGTTAGCTGGCAATTCTATTTCTAGCCATGTTTTGCAGTCAGTTTGGTGATGGTTCACTGAGACCGAAAGGAAGGCTTTCAGAGCTCTTTCTTTGTTGTGGGAGGTATCCTGAGTGTTGTGGAATGTTTAGTAGCATTTCTAGCTTCTACCCACTAAATGCTAGTAGAATTGCTCCTGCTTCCATTGTGACAACTGAATATGTCTCCAGACATTGCCAAATGTCTCTTGGTGGGTCGGGGGTGGGGGAGTGGGGTAAAACCACCCCTAACGGAGAACCACTGCTTTAGAGATAGTGGCACAAGCAGGTCTGTGAAGCATGTCAAGATGGTAGACCAGAGGGTGGCACTTAAGGTTGCTCCTTGAACAACACAGGTTTGAACTGTGAGGGTCCACTCCTCCGTGGATTTTTTTCCCAACAAATACAATGCTGTACTGTAAAAATACAGCACCCTACTGTAAATGTATTTTTCTTTTCCTTATGATTGTCTTAGTAACATTTTCTCTTCTCTAGCTTACTTTATTATAAGAATACAGTACATCATCCATATACAAAATATGTATTAATCAACTGTTGATGTGATCGGTAAGGTCAACAGTAAGTTATTAGTAGTTAAAGCTTGGGGGAAATCAGAAGTTATATGAGGATTTTCGACTGGGCAGGGGTTAAGGCCCCTAACCCTTGCAGCGTTCAAGAGTCAACTGTATATCCAAAAAATGATGCAGGTCCTTCCTCTGTCTTCATTCCTCCCCCTACCCCCACAGTTTGGGCTCCTTCCCAGCAATGTTAGGGGCTATCTAGACCTATGCAGAGGAACCTAACAACAAATTTTAGTCCCATGTTGCTTATAATCACTAGACAATCCTGGTGTATTGACTTTGCCTGTCCACACAGATCACATGAGGCCATGTATAGCAACTCTTTAGGTTTTAGCTCTGATCTCTTCTTCAGAGAACACCCGGCAAATGATTAAACCAAGTACTTAAATTTTATCACAGGTCATCAGTTTGTGTGGCTCAGTGAACTCCCCATGTGATGGGCAAAACTCTTATAGTCAAACTACCTTCCTTAAGTGTACATATTATTCCTTAGCTCCATTTTGTAGAGGGAAGAATTTGGAGACATTGGATAATGAATTCTGTCCTTCAGACATTTCCACCTACACATTTATTTTTGAAAAACATGCTGATATGCCTTCAAGTGATGTTTCCTGTTTGTCACCTTCCTCTGCCTGAATGTTTCCTTACTTCCTTGGAAAAAAATGAAGTGACTTTTGCTTTATTAACTTTGTCCAGCATTGATAATTAATTTTGTAGGCCCATCAGCTTATGTAGTGAGAAGATTTCATTAGCAAGTTAAATGTAACTTTATTTCTTCCTTGCTTTCCCTATTTTGTAGGCTTTTAGAGAAGCAATGGTTTTATAAAAATCCATTGAGCATAGCAAGGACAATGTAACTATTGTGTTATAGTGCTGGGGGGAAAAGAAGTCTCTGTTCTCGATTCCCTGTAAATGTGGTATGTTTTCAAATCTTTTTTATCTAATGTTCTGCCTTACATAGGAATACTCTGTTCCCTAAGAAGCCCATTGTCTTTATTTGTAATCACAGGCCTTCATCATTATAGAAAAAAACCCGAGCCCTCTCAGACTCTGATACCTGTATTTAATCAATAACCACATTCCTTTTTCATCTGTGTTACCTCTGCAAGTGCATTTTCCCACCTGCATATGTTTTATTGTAAGAATTCAATTGAAGGAGCCATTCATGTTTGCAAAAAGGATGATGTTTTATTGTTGGTTATAAAGAAAAGAAATTTCATACTTTCTGTTATAGCACGGTGAATTCTGAAAGAGAGGAACAAGTTAACTAACCGTGGAGAGACCACAGAAAAATCTTGTAGTATTCTGACCACATTATAAAATCAGAACTGGCAATTTTTGTGTCTCTAATTGACAAGCATTCGATTCGCATTTGAAATGCAATCTCTGCACAATTTAAGGGTACGTAGACTGGAAAGAATAAGTAATGGTGGTCAAAATATTGAACACGAATATGACATGGCCTAATCAGTGACACCAGGTACCATCTTATTGGGACAGGATCCCAGAGACCCTGCAGTTCCACGTGTTCTTTTAGTGGCTGGACCATGGGGAGGTGGGACGGGTGCTTGGAGAGGGGCCAGGGTGCCTGGGGGCATAGAGAAAACACTAAGGAGGTACAAGGTAACAACTGTTTATGAGCCAGTCTGGTAGTATTTTAATATTTGAACCATTGAAACAGCTGTATCACTGTGTACCAGCTGGACTCAGAAGTGCAGAACTATCAAGTGGTGCAGTGTAGTTAGAAAATTAGACCACCAGTTAGAGTTCTTAACAGTTTCATTAACTCACTGTGTGGTCTTGGATAAGTTAGTTCTTGGGGCCTCCATTTTCTCTTATGGAGAATAGAATATTGGATTGGAATTGTCCTAGGTTCCCTTCCTATTCTGAGAATCGATTTCTTTTCCCCCATGAATGAGCTGCAGGTTCTATGCACAGAGTATAGAGTTGTCCTTGAACTTCTGAAAAACAGAGACTGAAGCGTTTCCTAAGCAGTGTAGGGCACTGTCATGCTCTGTGGTTTGTGGATAAGGTGATTGTCAAAGAGGAACGAAGCTGCATTAACTGCATGCACTGTGTTGTCAGGACAAGACAGGAGCAGTTAAATACCTTTCTACAGGCAGCTTAAAGACTCTGAAATAGATAATGCAATATATGTTAAAAAAAAAAAAGAAGAAGATAGCAGGAGGGGAAGAATTAAGGGGAGTAAGTCGGAGGGGGAGACGAACCATGAGAGACGATGGACTCTGAGAAACAAACTGAGGGTTCTAGAGGGGAGGGGGGTGGGGGGATGGGTTAGCCTGGTGATGGGTATTAAAGAGGCCACGTTCGGCATGGAGCACTGGGTGTTATACACAAGCAGTGAATCATGGAACACTACATCAAAAACTAATGATGTAATGTATGGTGATTAACATAACAATAAAAAATTTTAAAAAAAGACATTTTTTAAAGATTAATTGTTTCCAATGTTTGGAGGAATTTTTTTGCAGAGAGAAAAATGTGCTAGTTTACTACAGAAACAAAACGAATGTTGCTTTTGCCTGAAATTACCTAAGTTGGGCAAAAACAGATATTTTGGAATTTTTTTTTGACTAGATTGCGGAAAGTTCCCTCCACTCTTCACTTTTGTGTTCTTTGTTTGAATATATGTATATATATACATATATATGTATATATATATACATACACACACACACATATGTATATTCAGTGAATATTTTGAGATATCTCCATGGGAATATATAAGCACACATTAATGAGCAATGCCATGCCTACTGAAAGTAAAGATTCTAAAATAACACCAACCTAGATGTATTTTCCCCGAAAATGGTTTGTTTTAATTTGAGTTGAAAATCACTTTCCAAGTTGATACCACATCTTTAAAATTTTTTTTTAAGTATGAGGAGGTACTCAGCATAATTATGAATTACTGTAATTATCAGAAAAGAGAAAAAATATGATTTCTGAAGCACATGCTTTATTAGGAAACTAGGTGCTGAATAAGTACCTAAACGTATTTCTTTTTGGTTCCTATATAAGTGATAGTTTAGTGAAATGATGTGATTCTGTTTTAACATCCTGTTGCTTATTGTACCTGACAAACAGAAGTGAAGAAAATGAAGAATTGATTATCTGGGGTCATTTTCTTGAAACTTGCATATAATTCCCGTTTATGCTCATTGGAATAAAGAAGAGCATTTCTGTAACAAATTAAGAACATGCATAACCTGTTATGACATAGTCATAGATGTATAATAATATGGTCTAGAATTACAGTACTCTCTTGAAGTACATCATATTCAAAATTCACTGGAGATGTCTTAGAGACATCTGTTGTAATTACAGGAACATGGTTTCTAATTCATTTAATTCCCTTTCCTACCTAAACTGTACATATAAGTGAATTTTAAGAGACTGTATAAATAAATTTTTAATTACAAAATGATGTTATACAATACATTATTAATAATAACCAACAATGCATAATGTTTATGCATGAGTCCATTACAAAGATGAACTAATGTATGTCAATTCTAAAAGAATGCACTAATTTGTCCTGAATTTGTGAATGAAGTTGAATCCATGATGCAAGCCAATGAATGCAATAACACAGAGTGGTTTAGCATGCTTTTATTTTAGAGTCAAGAAACACCTTGTACCTATGGCATTTAAGAGGTATTTAGGATTTGTTCATCACATGTGATCAAGATCTTATTTTTCAGCGAGCCATGCTGTTATGAAATTTGGAGTAAGACCATAGAGTTGACAGTACTGGCTTTACCAGACAGGTGCAGAATAAAACGGTCCATAGAGTCCAAGAAATGTGTACAGTCCTTACATTTCGGCACATAGAAATCACAGTCTTATCGTCATGGGATTTCCCTGTGGGGCCAAAGGATCTGCTGGGATGTGGTTAACTTCACTGTGCTAGCGGTAACAGATTTCCGAAATCTCCATGGCCAGCTCCAGACACTCGGTGGTCTCGTGGCAAGATTCAAACAGGCTGCAGTCCATGCCACAGTTGCAGTTGCAACCATTCCGAGCGTGACTTTCATCCGAGGTGTGGTGATACCTGTGAGAGGGGCAGCACAGGTTGGTACACACCGTTTCACAAGTATCTGGGAGCATCAGGAGACAGTCCCAAAACTGGCAAAACAGACAGGTGAGGATAAGGGAGGCACACTCCTCTGTTTAAAGAAGAAGAAGATGACAAAAAATGATTAGTGGCACCTAATGATTAGGGGCGTCTCTGGAGGACAGGCATGTAAGGTGGTGTGCTTGATAACTTTATAGGCCAACTCTTAATTGTCCATATTAGGGGTAATGTACACCATGATTCTCTCAAGCTTCCCCACCCCCCATGCAGGACTCACTCTGCTTAAGCAGTTGCTTTATTAACTTCCTGAGCATTTCTATTGATTCCACATGATCTGGTTATTTAAAGAGCTGTCACTTTTCTAAACTCCTTTCTTTACTTTGCCTGCAGAGGTGCTAGGAAGCCACACAATTAGCTATCTTTTTGGAAACCTTGCAACCGTCTGAAGAATAGCAAGTCCTCCCCAAGTGCAGAGAGCTTTTGGGAGCAATTAGGGTTGGGGACAAGGAGAGACTGTACAAACTTCCAGTTTCTTGTCCCAAGGCTTTGTCATTTGTATGGTGTGGATTCCCAGAAATCCACCACACCCATATTCACATGCAAGCAAAAAGCACATTTTTCAAGACCTAATATAAATGATTTTTAAATAATCGTAGTTTTGATGTTAGTTGTATTTTATTTTGAATTCCTGTATCCTTTGTCCTCCAGTTACTGTGAAGCCTTGATTTTATATTCATGTTAAATGGAATACGTCATCATATGCCTAAAAGAGTAGAAATCTTCTCAATCCTCTTTAAGAAAATTGCTTTAAAAATTTACTGCGCAGACTTGTGAAAATCTGAAAAGTATCTCTAAGGTATTGAAGGTAATTGGTAATTTTAGCCAAACAGCTGTGATGGGTTATAGATTATTTTATTTTTTTGTTTCCATAAAGGGAATTAGTTAGAAGATGTAGCAGCTCTCTTGTTAAAATTATAACTTTTTTTTTTAGTTAAAAAGTTCTCAAAAACGTGAGCACTTTATAAATGGGTAGGTAAGTGTTTACATGAGACATCATCTAATTAATTAAAGAGAGTATCCTGAAGATTGTCGATGATTGAAAGTAACAATCTGGCATAAATTGGAGAAAAATTCCTCCTCCTGATGGGTTTATCAATCAAAGTTAGATTTTCATAGGGATTTATTATTTTTTTCACCAAGAATGTTAATGTTAATAACTTTTGGTTTTCAGACTTTAGTTGGCTGAAACTATACAAGCCTGCAGGAGAGATTTTGCTCCTGGAGTCATCTGCTAAATGGTTCTGAGTATTCTTTGAGCCCTGTTCATTTACTTCCAACAATGTTTTCCAGAAAACTTTTTTACTTTTGTTATTCATCTATTTGTTAATCTGTAAGAGGTGGGAGAACATGGAAACTTACTCTAAAAGGGAACAAATATTTTGAAGATTTCTTTTAAAATCCTCATATAAATGTCTAAAGTGACCTGGCATATAAGTAAACAAAAATCTTCCTGCCTCCATCCCACCCTCCATCCCTGCCTCAGACCCTCCTTTTTTTTTTTTCTTCCCAATAAGACGGTGGTAAAGAACCTCACCGTGACTTTTATGATGACTTTAATTGCCATATATTGTTGCAGGTGCTGTGGCCATTACTAAGTATTTCTTAGCAGTGTAGGCAGCATATCCCATAATACCTCTAGGGCGTATGCACTCATCTCTTTGCCAGATGGGGTATATTTTTTTATTCACTCAGAGCCAGCTTCTAGCATGTGGCTAACTCACCCATATAAGTCACCACAAACCACCCACAAAAATTCAGGAGTTAGTTAGTGCAGTACCTAGACTCTATTTCATGTTTGCATTTCTGAAGAGGGTGTGTTGGTGGTCAAAGATACGTAGCGTAAAACCTCATCAACTTTTACTAATGCCAAGAAGGCTACTCTAGCAGCCCCGGGCAAAGAAGTTCTCAGGAGAAAATATTCCAAGCAAATGATCCATAGCCCTCAGGCTGGAGGCTCAAGAGACTGACTCAGACTATGATCATATAAAAATGATCCAGTGGGATCGCATCCTTTGTAGATGGAGATGTGAGGCTGAAAGTTTGGTTTGCAGGCAGGTTAGGGTGGGAGCTGGTGTTTCCTATCAAAGTGTGAAATACCTATTTGTGAAATGGACTTATTCTTTCCTAAGGGCGTATAGTCTTTTGGTTTAATTCCTCTTGCCATTGTTTTCTCAAGCTGGCAGATTCTGGAGGTCTCTGCTTCTGATGTACACTGTAGATTTTATTTACACACACACACAAAAGCGTTTGGCCTAATCCTTTGGCCAAACTGGCATTTGTTTTCTTCTACCTCTCTATTTTGCATTTGCATGAGAATAGAAGAGCTCTTTTTTTTTTTTTCTTTCTGTGTATAAGTCAGTCCTTTTTATTTGGTTATAAAAGGCAGAGCCTCTTGCCCAAAAAAACATGGCAACATTGGTGAATTGAAAACAGATTTTTCCGAACTTTCAAGAGCATTGAAAACTTTTCCTAAAAGGCATATTACATAATTCTACATGGACAGCCAAAACTATTTTGCATATGGGCGATTTTTGTTTGCACAAAAGTAACATAAGCAGTTCCGGGGGGGATATTTGCAACTGTTTGAAAAGAGAGTTGGGTTTCCCCTATTCCTGAATGGGTGTGTTTTCCTTTGCCTGCACAATTTCTTGGGGCTTTCATGTTTAATAAACATGATTTCTAAAGTCATAGCCCATGATTAGCACCCTACTCTCAGCCATCCGAAAGAGTACGCTATGCTTCCGTCTGCCCCTTTCGTGTCTCTTCTCTTCAGCAATGTCTTCAAGATACCTCCCGCTTACCGAGGCCAAATTATATCCAGCTCTCCCTCTTTCCCCATTCCACACACCTGTCCTTCCTCTGGCTTTCTCTTGTGAATGGCTCCTGCATACTAAGATGAAATCAGCAGAAAGCTGGGACTCTTTCTTGTCATTTTCCTTTCCCCCATCACATACCACCGTCCTCCCTCCAGTTCCTTGCTGAGGTTCTGCTCGTTCTGTCTCAAGTCGGTATGTGAAAACCAGAAGCCTCTACCCACCTCTAGGGCCACCCCCTTAGTTCCAGCTACTATCAGCCATCGTCAGGTCCATAGCAATAGGCTCCTATCTAACACATTGCTTTTACACGAGCCCAGCTCAAATTCATCAGCTCCTGTGATGTTTTTCATTGTAGATGGGAAGATCTCACTCTCCCCTTAAAGTCCCACATCCTTGCCATAGCCTGTGTGATAGGTTCCTGCCTATTTTTCTGGCTTCCCAGCCTCTGTCCTCCTTGCTCACTGTGCTCCAGCCACACTGGTTCCGCTTCAGATCCTGAGATGCCCCACCTGAGAGGCTTTGCCCATGCTCTTTCTTTGGCCTGTGTTCCATACTTTCCCCTCACAGCTTGATCTGATTCCTACTCAACCTCTGAGCCTTTAGCTTGAAACATCATTCTTCTACATGCCATGAAACTCTCATAGCATTCTATTTTTTCTTCATGGTACTGACTATAGGATGATATGAAACTAATTAGTTTATTAGTGAGTTTCTCCCCCTACTAGAACCTGAGCTCCAAGAAAGCCGTATCTGTTGTTGAATGAATGAATAAATGAATGATGGGAGACAAATAAAGTGGTCCTCATTTTGTAGATGAAAGGACTAAGGTTCAGGGATTGTCCCTGATTGTCCTGAATCTTTCAACTGTAAGGTGCTTGGGGGTGGGGGGGAGGTTCAGATCTCAATCTTTCTGGATCCAAAGTCTGTTGTCTCTTAGCTGGTGTTACACTGGGAGCAGATGTGCAGTCCTGCTCCAGTGAGCAAGGAGGACAGAAGCTGGGAAGCCAGAAAAACAGGCAGGAACCTATCACACAGGCTATGGCAAGGATGCACTTCGTCGGCACCTCACATAGTTCCTGAAATAAGCCTGAGGTGAGTACTATCCCTGTCCTTTTATAGATGAGGAAACTGTGGCTCAGGGAATTTAAGAAGCACAGGAAATGGAGCAGCCATGATTTGACTCAGACTGTCCCTTCCAGAGCTCTGAATCCTGCAGCTGGCCTGTCCTTCAGAAGGCTCACACTTCCTCTGTCATGATCCAGTATAGCGCAGGATGTGGCCGGCTCGCTCCCTGCTCCGCTCTGTATCCCCCAGACTGCTAACGTCTATCCTCCAGGTTCTGTCAAAGCAGTGGCAGGAAATGGGAGGGTGGGAAGAAGAATTGAGTGGTATCTCAGGCAGTACCTGGATCTTCCCCTTGGTTTTACCTCTTTCTGAACATCCTTTCTGCAGCTCTTGTTGATGCCACTTGCTAGTCGTCTGTCTAGTAATGTAAGTTCCTAGTGGCCTATGAGCAAAGGCCAGGACAAGTCCTCTACTAGTGGCCTGGAGGGGCCAAGGGAAGACGTGGCAGAGCTTTGTTGCTAAGGTCTGGGTAGCTTCACTGTTCCCTTACTTGGCTTTTCACCTCTCCTAACATTTTTGTAAGGAGGTCTCTGCATGTTGAAGTCCCTTTATTGACCCTGGCATCCTGGCCTCTTGGAGTGTCCATCTCTCTTTCCCTCCTCTTGTCTTGGATCAGAGAAGGTTCAAGAGGGAGCCAAGACTTGCAGGCCAAGCAGCCAAAAGAGGTATTTGACTGTGAGCAAGAAGCCATGATGAAACCCCCCTTAGGTTGTTTCATTTTCTTTTTACAGCTCTAGGGTACCTTTAGGACATCGAGGCTATAATGTGCTAAGTGATACCCTAATGATGCTGAAGGATTAATGCAGCCTCCGGAGGTGCTAAATGTACAGCTGGGGATTGGCTAATTAAGAGGAAGAATCTGTCTCATTAGAAGGGATCATGTTTAATTACAGTGGAAGAGGTAACAATGCAAGGGGCTCCGGCCAGTGTACCTGAGGTAGCCTCACGGTCACGGTTCTGTACTTCCTGGGTTCGCCCTCCCAGCTTTGGATCCTGTCACCACGATGCCTGGGATTAAGAGGAGGGAGGGGCAGAGGCAGATTTAGCTGTCCACTGGAGTTCTTATAGCTTTCCTCAGCTCTGGACACATACCACCTCCTCGTTTGGGAATCACTATTCAAAATAGCAAGAATGTAGTTCCTCCAAAATTGGCCCCAGATAAGCAACAATCCCCCTCCCCTCCAAACAAAGTAATAAAAAAAGAAAGGCAAATAAACATGGCCCAAACCCAGTATCTTAATATGTTAATGGTTAACGTGCTCTCCCAGCAGATTCAGCAGAATCATGAGATTTGTGACACAGTGACTCCAGCTAATTACTCCAAGTTTCTGGTCAAAAAGTATAAAAATTGGCTCCCACTCCTCAAACATTGAGTTCTTTTTCTTTCTTTCTTTTTTTTTTTTAAAGTCTGTAATGTAGAATAGGAATAAATAAAGTGTGACTGAATGTCTTTCTCTAGCTGGGGGTATCATCCCTGATGTTATCAATTTTAATAGCTACTTAAATATGTCAAGATCTATTTAAGTTCAGACAAGCACAACTAACGTTCAAGTCAGTTCTTTAGAACGAGGATGACTAGATTTGGGTGATACTTAGTAAATTTGTGCTTATGTTTTTTTCTGAGCAAATGAACTGAAATAATTATAAAATTGAAACATTTTATAAGGTGACACTACTGCATTTAATTGTATGAAATTTACAGTGTAGAAAATGTAATCATTTTATTCAGTAGTCCATGGTGTAATTAAGACTATTCTTTTGAGGTATCTTATATTTATGATTTTCCTCTTCCACCTGGATGAGACGTCTCAAATTCAAAATTATACATCAATTAGGTATATTCTCAGGCTTCTTTTTAAGGTGCCTGTTTTCAAGCATTGTGTGTATCCTTGATTTTATTACTCACAGGGATGCCTTTGCAGTCAGAATGTAGCAACAGAAGCAGAGACACAGGTAGTGCTCTGCACTTTTTACATTTTATCCGGGAAAGGGACCACACAGGATGAGCCACAATTTAATAATAAAGTAATGTTGCAGCACATAGTGTGTGATGTGCAGTAAAGATCCTTTTAAATTCCCATCAGAGCACACACCATGAACTGAGCTAATGGATGTAACACATTTTACAAAATCTGCATGTGTGAGGCTTTTCCATTCTGTTTTAAGTGGGGCAATGTATATAAATAATAGATATTAGCAATTAAGCATCCATTCCTATGCACTCATTTATACATTTGAAAATAAATTAACCACAAACTACATGAAAGTGGATGCAATCTTCTCTTTTCCCTTCTGTTTCCCCTGCTGTTCCTGAAAGATATTTCTGTATTTATCTCAGTACGAACAATGACCCCAGCTCTCAATTTCTGCATCCTTAAATTAATTACTATAAAAACTCTCTGACTTAACTCTTGATATCCTTGATGTTTGCTGTTTAAGATAATGAGAGCGTCTTATCCACACTCGTGGGCCTTCGTTTGGATGTTTTGCTCTCTCTTTTATCCAGGTACCAAAAACTCTCACCTCAATGGGGGGATTTTTTCACCATTTGGGAAGGGAGCGGTGGGCTTTTACCTGTGTTGTCAGCCTAAAATCATGATTTCCCGGGCTGTCCCAGCCTCTCAGGGCTTAAGAAAAACAGTCTAAGTCAACTGTCCTTGCGAATCTCCTTTGCTCTTTTGAAAAAAAAAAACAGTAAGTGGTGCATTTCCTGCACGAGGCTCCTGAGTATCAGTTGCCATTTTAATGGACTGGTCCTTTGGCCCTTCCCTGAGAATACAAGGGTTCAGGTATCATGTTAGCTGCACCAGCCCTTCTCCTTCTCCCAGAATGCCTGCTAGGACAAATCAGAGTTGTTCTGGAGGGTACTGTGTTGTACTACATGGATTTGTACAATGGCAATTCCTAATTCGTGGGTCATGACAACCAAGATCTCTTACATGCATTCCTGAGACAATCCGACGAAATGCTCTAGTGTCACAGTGCTTTCTAGTGTCTCAAAGCACTCTCCTGTATTGCCTGTTTTCTTGATTGGCATCAGACTCCAGCAAAGCCAGAAACATGGGTGTCATCTTGAATTTGAGGTTGTAACCTGGCAGTCCACTGGCCAAAGTTGGCCCCGAGCTGTGTATTGTTGGGAGTGTCTGGGGCTTCATAGAAGAAATAGAAGTATTGTCAACACCTAAAAAATTTGGCAATTTCACATAACACTCTGGAGCTGGCAACTCTGAGCTTTTATTTCCTTCTGGAAACAATTAGCTGGAGCTGAGTGGGGCAGCATGCTTCACTGAGCCCCAGTCCTCACCAGTCCCTGTTGCTCACTGCCATTCTAACTCATTACTCACATCATCCCCTGGCACCTGCAAGCAATTGTGTCTGTAGCTTCTGGTCTAAAGCAGCCATGGCATGTTTACACAAGATCATAAGGAACGCATGTTAGAAATTTCTCCCCTTGCTTTCTAAAACCATAACCATAATGAAAGCAAAAATCAAATATCTATGATGTGCCAGGTCCTGTATCGGATCCTTTGCACATGTTATTTCATTTGGTCTTCGAAACACCCTAGCTCTGTTATATAAGACTAAGATTCAGAGATATGAATCTTATGAGATAAGACTAAAAGACTAAGATTCAGAGATGGTAAAAACTTATCCAGGTTTATACGGTTAATAAATTTCAGAGCCAGGAATTAAACTGATGTGATTCCAGAACTCCTGTTACACAAAAGTCCATTTATTTATTTTTTCCTTATTTTCAAAAAGTAAATATTAATTTAAATATAGACTAGAAACTATACCCTCTTATATTTTCCTTTGAGACACTGCAAGCTTTCTTTAAATGCAAATGCAGATACGGAACACTACAAAATTCTTGAATGGTTTGGGTGTCCTGTAAAGGGCACTGCAAAGGCAACCTGAGTAAAATTACGTATGTCTTGGTGTGGAGTGCTTGACTTTGAACTTGACTGTGATGACCATTTAGCACCAAATAAACTTGAAATTGGCTTCGCGGAAGGAATGTGCCTTTTATAGTCATATACAGGGGTGGTTGGGTGTAGGTTGGCACTGATCAGAATGCCCAGGAGGTGATATCACCTAGAGGAACCAACCCTGGTTGCTGATGTAAGCATCTTGATATTTTTTACAATCCACATTTATACATTTCCAGCATTTTAATACCATTCTACTCTGCCTTCTTCTCTCAGCCTAGCGTCACGGGCTGAAATAGTCTCAGAGTTGAGAAAAGTTTGCCGTTTTTCTTTATCCCCTTCATAGCTCTGTAGCAAGAATGATTATACCTCATTCCAGCTATTTAAAACACTTTACCTCTGATTTCCAGCTTTGAGAGCAAACAATCTGCCAAGCACCTCGTAATTGCAGAGTGACCTTGACATGTGTCATTCACCAGGGTTTTCAAATCGAAGTCTTACTGTTTAATATTCATAAAGGCTCTTTTTTTCTAACAGCATATGTGATGATTTTACAGGGGCTGGGGGTTGGGGAGCTTTATTTAGAGATGGGTTGATTCTGAGAAACATACCATCAGTGTCTCTCTGATGAACTGAAGTATCAGTTTGGAGGTAGGAAAATTTCGTTTGGCATTCTTCAAGGGAGGACAGTGATGTGCTGGATTCTGACAGTTTTTTCTCACTGGGGGTTTCCTTGGCTGGTCCATCTGTGATATTGAATTCGGATACTGAATTTATAATGATAGCATTAATGGGTTTCTCGTCTGCATGCTTTTCATTTGTGAGTTGCATATCTAGATGAAAAAAGAAAACACACATACATAAACCCACTATAGTTGACATGACCTAGTGATCTCAGAATGGACATTTGCAGAAAGTTTCACACTCAAGACTTTTGTGAGAATAAGGTCTTATTTAAGAGAATGAAGCATCATTGAATGGAATAATTTTGAATAAAAATATAAGTAAGAATAAAAAGTGCAATAATTGTAAAATTTTACACACAGTACAAGTTTCCCTATCACAGTAATTTGTAACACTTATTTCTACTGTGTTTTTTTTTTTTAAGTGATGGGTGGAGAGAAACAAAGAATCAATGAGATCTCATAGTTTGTTGTCAGCTTATGGTCTGGCTTCCAGAAGCAGTAAAAGGGTCTTAAATGCTGGACAGTGCTGCTCAATAATGTATGTGATCTCAATCAAATTGTTTTTATTTCTTTGGTTCTACAAACCTCAGTTTCCTCCTCTGCATAAGAGGAGTGGTTATAAATGAACCTCTATCAGCTCATATCTGTTTCTACCCTCAGAGACTCTCCGTTGCTGCCCCTTCCCCTGCCTTAGCATTTGCTAGGATCCTATTCAGGTGAGTGTCGATGCGGCTTTTGGGGGTGTGCTTTTCGGAATATATTTTATTTCCATATAACCACCTGGAAGGGAACTTCTGGCAAAATCCTTGACCCTTGAAATTCTGGTTTGGAGAGGCACAGAAAAGACCAAGAAGGCCAAGGTGCCTCATGTATTTTAGAGCTCCCATATTCATTCATTCATTCATTCATTCTCACATAATCATATATGGGTCTGTTATGTAAGAAGCACTGTTAGCAAAGAAATAACTAAGTCACAATATTGAGGAGTGTATGACAGAGCAACATACCGTGAAATCATGTTAGAGTCTGGGACATAACCAGTCTGGGTCATAACTTACCTATACCCATTACACAGAATCCTAAGATCGAGAAAAGAGTTAATAGAAGGTATTCTCAAACATGCAGACCAGCTGGTTCCTAGGGACACCTTAAGCCCTACACAAACAGCAGTCTGGGTCATTTGGCAGCCCTACTGGGAGATGGTGAAGATGCATTCTGGAGACTTGCATTCTTGTGGCTAACCCAATGCCTGGTTTATCCAATAATGCTCATTGAGCGTCTAGAATAAATTATACAGCTCGCAACCTGGTTTTTACCATGCTTACAACAGCCCAGTGGCCAACGTCCATTTTCATCACCTTTTCCAAAGTTGCTTCTTTCTTTCAGGCAGATGGAAATCTCTACTGGGTCCTATCTCCTGGGTCAGTGGTTCCCAGACTTGTCTAAAGAGTAAAATAACCTGGGAAATCTTTTAAAACTTTGGGATTTTTTCACGCTCAGGGAACCCCTCCCACCCCTCAGCAGATTAACTCACAGCCCCTGGGGGATTTGTGAAGCTCCCTATATGAACCTCCAAAGGCTCCTGACTGGAGTGGGAATTGTCAGTCCGGAACACGCCATTGTCTTGTTTCTTTCTCAGCCTCCAAACAGCCTTGGCTTTCAACAAGGTTTGCTTTTTATTCCCTACCCCTTATGTTGCTGGCTTTAAATCTCTTGGTTGTGTTTTGATTCACTCTAAACTGGACTGGTGGAAATTAGGATTCATGAAAACATCGATCATTAATAGGAATTAATGTAATAGTGAATAGATGGAATTAGCTCAACTGATTGGGAAACCCTAGGCTTCCTCTAATCCCAGAGAGATTCACCAAATTAATGTTGTAATGATGATGATATAAAAAAGTAGTTTATTTTTCTGGAGTATCAAAGTGTCTGACAGCCAGCTAATATTACAAACAGATAGCCATTCATATTATGCCTTAGAACACTTGGGGCAGTATTGATATTTGGAGACAGATAATTCTTTGTCATGGGGAGATCGTAGGATGTTTAACAGCATCCCTGTCTTCTACCTACTAGATGCCAGTAGCACCCATTGTCCTAGGTTGTGGCAAACAAAACTGTCTGCCGATAGTGCCTAATTTCCCCTCCGGGGCAAAGTCACCTAGGGTAGAAATCCAAACCACTGCTTTATACACACACCCACATACACCGTAGCATGTCGCATGCCTTTTATGTCAGGTTCCATGTTAGCACTTACATACCTTATTTACCTGAAGCATCACAAAGACTCCAGGACGTAGATATTGTCAGCCTCCCTGAACAGAGGAGAATAACTAGTATCCCCCGTTAACAGATGAGGGAGTGTAACCAAAACTTAGATAGTTTGTTTAGATAAGTTGCCCCAGTGGTCCTCATTAGCAAATGATAGAACTAGGATTTGAATCCAGGCCTGGTGTATTCCCAAAGCTCAGCTCTCATCCTTGTCTCTGTAGTAGACAACATCATCTCTGATTTGTTCTTAGCTTTTATCTCTGCTTCCTAGCTGCTGAGACTGCACATCAGCAAACCCCTCTGAACCCTGAATCCCACGCATGATGTGTCACCTACCCAAAATCTAGTCTAGCAGATTACTTAGCTTTCCAGATGCCTCTCTCCCTGAGCAGCCTCTGCAAAGCAGGACTACCTTCTTGCACACTCAGGGAATCCTGCATCTTCAGTTACAGCTGCTTTATACTGTACATTAAAGAGCAGCTCAGAAAGAGCTGGTAGATAACGAAACCTTGATGAGTATAGAGATTGCGGCAGCTATTTACTTACGGAATTAATTAACAATCAGTTCAAATTATCACACGTAGTCAGGCTGCATGTAATTTAAATTGCTTTTGCACAAAGTAATTCAGTAACAAAAAAAAATGTTGGATAGAGGTTACTGGAATATAAGAACATGCGGAGAATACTGTATACAGCCAAGTGGTATATGATTCTCTTTTTAATTTTGCGACAATTTTAAGTATAGCATTTTGAATCTAAGTGGTGTGCTACATTAAGCAACCATTTGGAGTCACTGGGATTGTACTGAGAGAATTTTGTGGAGAAGTTAAACTGCCATTCATAAAGTTATTTTAATTCTCTATCTCTGTTTATATTTTTATTTTTTTTTCATTTCCCAGTGGGAACTATCTGTTGCTCATTAGAAAAATCATCTGACATACACACATTTCAGACCCCAGTCTGTTCAACCCAGAATTCTGACATCTGAAGTGAGTCACAATTTTTGGGTGAATGTTACTGACATCTTCCATCTTTTATAGATGGAAAGCTAACAATAAATTTCCCCGGATTCCTCTTTTGCGGTGTTATTTGACATTGTATCCCAAGTATTATAAAGTAGCATAGGCTAAAAGGAGAAACATATAAAAAGTGGTATCACATCTCCTGCAGAGAAAACGATTTTGGAATTAAATAAGGAACTCGTGAAACTATATTTGGGATGTTATACATAGTTCTTGACATTAACTTAAAGAAAATAATTTTTTAACAGAAAAAAACACCAAAATTAGGACAAAAATTAGAAGCTCAACTCTATTTCTTAGGGAAAAAAAATTAAAGTGTATCTTAAGTCAGTGAAATAGAAAATTCATGTTTGGGCTAGAAGTAATTACAGAACCAATGGGCATAAACTTAAGTAACAGAAAAGACAGACAGTTAATTAATTTTTTATTGCCATTGAGCAAATGTTATTAATTTAATTCAATTAACATTTATTGAGTGCCCACATGCAATAGATGAATCAATATGACAGGAGCTATTAATTTATTTACTTTAAGTTATTAAGGAAACATTTTAATGATTTTCATTTTTGCTCACTAAATGTGACTTTGTAATTTTTGCATCCATGCATTCTCTGTTTGAGTGCATATATTTATATATATGCTTTCCAATTGTCAATAAGTAGCATCTCTTCTTCCCTGGCTCCTCTGATTCTATTCTTGTTTTCCTCTCCGCCCCCCTTACCTCTCCCCTCCCCTATGCTTCCCTTCCCTTCTTCTCTTTCTCTCTCTCAGTTTAATTCCCTGACCTGCCCTGTCTCTGTTATTGGTTTCTTTTTTCCCTTCCAGTTCCTTCAACATATTTGTTCCTTTATTCCTATTTTTGTACCCTACCTTTGAAGGTCCTATTTGTCCACACTCAGAATTTAGTTATTTTCTTTGTGAAGTTGGCCCCTGAAACTCTGTGCAGTTCATCAGCCAGCTGGGCCACATTTACTGAGCATTAAACTATGTGTCTGGCCCCGTCCTGGGTGCTGAGAGATTCAAAGAAGAACAGCAAATAATCTTGGTCCTCAAGAGGCCCACAGTTAGCACAAATTGTAGTCACACACTTGTAACTGACGATTGGACATTTTACTTGAGTTATCAGCTAATATTTACAATTAGTATATCTCTTTCTATGAAGGCCCTATTCTTCTCCCCAAACTGGGTAACTCTAGATATCTCTGGAGAACCCATAGTTCAATTTCTTTTCATTGTATTGTCATTTTTAACAAATTCCCCGTGCTTCAAGATATTCTTTGAATTGCCCCATCCTTCCGTCCAAATATTTACCAGTTCTTACTTATTTTTGCTCTTAAATATCTTACAAGTGCATCTCAGATTTTTCATTCCCATCACTACCACTCAAGATGAATCCTCTCTGTTCTTAAATCTGTACTATTTCTGTCACCAGTGGTCTCAACTATGGTGACAACCCTCCCCAAGACATCTTGTACACTATAATTGAAATGTTTTGAGTAATATTCTTCTGATCATAATACTCACTAAAAAATCAAAACAAAACATACACACACACATACACACACACCAAATGTTAATCGCTCATTATTACCAGACTGTTTTCCCATTCTCTTGTTCTGAATTAATCTATGCATTCTATTGCAAAATAGAAAAAAGGTGTTAAGTTTTTCTTGTAAGTAGTAAACTCCAGAAGCCTATGCAAATGTTGTCAGATAGGTGTTTAAAACAGGGTGATTTGGGGGCGGGGGCGCCTGGATGGCTCAGTCACTTAAGCATCTGCCTTCAGCTCAGGTAATGATCTCAGGGTCCTGGGATTGAGTCCTGCATCGGGCTCCTTGCTCAGTGGGGAGT